AAAGAGAGACAAACATAGATTGGTTGCTACCATAAATGTGCGCTGAGTCGGGATGGAACCTGCAACCTTGGTATGTGCCCTGATGAGGAATTGAACCTATCACCTTTTGGTGTACGGGACACACTCCAACCAACAGAGTCACCGGACAGGGTTTAAAGAAATTTGATTCTAAGGGCCATAAAGCAATATTAAGTACAAGCCCTATTGCCTGGCCGGTATTGCTCAGTGGATTGAGCCTTGTCTCATGAGCCAAAAGGTCGCTGGTTCAATTCCTGGTGAGGGCATATGCCCACATTGCAGCTCCATGCCCAGTAGGGGGCATGCAGGAAGCAGCTGACTGAAGTTTCTTTCTCCCCCTCCCTTCCTCTCTCAAATCAATAAAATATGTATTTAAAAAAATAAAAACAAGTCCTGTTATTAAATGAAGGAGGCCTTGTGGACCATTATCATAAAGAAAGACTTATTGTATTTGCTCTACACAGTTACAGGAATGCACTAACATCCTTTAAAAAGTTTAACCTCCTAAAAAAGTAAGATCTTATTTGCATCATTTATTTTCTCAGCTCAACTTTCTTTCTAGAACTTTCAGTCCAGGAGACATTACCAAAAGTCTGAATTAGCAGAGCCAAATTAAACATTTTCTGTAATTATGCTTCTTTAACATCTGCTAATTTCAAAGCATTTTACAAACAAGTAGTTCACACAGTGTCTGACACATTGTAAGTGCTAGATAAATATTCGTCACATGCAAACTAGGTGATACTGTTGCTGTGACTAAAATGAATGCTTTGGACCTTACACTTCACTCTCAGCCCCAGGATATATGTAAACATCATTGTTAGGAGGAAGTCTGTTTTCATGGTGGTGCCCTTCTCTTTTCCAGGGAAGATCTGGCTTATCTTCATGATCCTGCTAAGGATGGTGGTGATCATTGTGGCTGGGTCCCCCGTTTACCAGGATGAGCAGGAGAGGTTTGTGTGCAACACTCTGCAGCCGGGGTGCGCCAATGTCTGCTATGATGTCTTCTCCCCGGTGTCCCACCTGCGCTTTTGGCTGGTCCAAAGTGTGTCTGTCCTTCTCCCTTCAGTTGTTTTCAGTGTCTATGTGCTGCACAAAGGAGCTGAGCTCGCTGCCCGGGGACCCTGTGGGCCAGATGGTGGTTCAGAAAGCCAGGACCTCGCAGACCTGAGCCCCAGGGATAGGCTCTGCCCTCTGCCCTGCAGGGAGGGGCGCAGCCTAGTGGTGCCAGACTTCTCCTATGGCTACATTGTGCACCTCTGTCTTCGGACCCTGGCAGAGACAGCTTTAGGGGCCTTGCATTACCTCCTCTTCGGATTCTCGGTCCCCAACAGGTTTTCCTGCGCCCACTCTCCCTGCTCTGGCTCAGTGGATTGCTATGTCTCTCGGCCCACAGAGAAGTCCATGCTGATGCTCTTTCTCTGGGCACTCAGCGCGCTCTCTGTGCTGCTCAGCGTGGCCGACCTGCTCTGCAGCTTGGGCAGGAGGACTCTCGGGGAGCCGGGACCTGCCGAGTGTCCCCGGGAAAGGAGGCCAGATCCGGTGGTGCTGGATAGGCTGGGGGAGGAAAGGGTGTTGCTAGCACACCGTGACCTGTGGACCAGAGGGCACGGTGCCCACAGCCCCAGTGGTCAGTGGGCTGTGTCGGGGCGGATGGAGCTTCCAGAGGAGGATGAGAGTGAGGGGCTGTCCTTTACCAGCGACAAGGTCTCCAGGGCTTGCACAGAGCCTGGTGGCAGGCCTCGCGCAGAGGCCCCTCCAGACTCCCGAAATGAGCATCCCTTAAAACCCCACCGTCTGCAGGCCCAGCACTGCCCGTCCAGTCTGTGGCAACCCTCAACCCGACAGGCTGGTGCTGGGAGCGCCCCTCTCCTGGGGACCAGAAGGTCCGAGTGGGTGTGAAAAGGGCGGCCAAGCAGTGCAGTGACTGAAAGACTCGAACCCTAACGTCACCTTGGCACGTGGAAAATCTTTATGTTCCTGGAGAATATCAACGGGCAGGAAGGCCAGCTGGCCTGTGACAAGGACTTCGTGGGACACACACAGACTTGTACTCTTGATTTATTTTAGATCACCCTGTCTGCTGAAAGAAACCCTTGCATTCAAATTTGGACTGGAAGCTAAAATGATTGATTGCAAAGTGTCAGGTTGCTTAGGGATTTTGCTACATCCTGACTGGCTTGTTATCTTATTCTTTATCATAGTATGTGCTTTATGTAAAGCATGTTCTTTTACATTAACAGAGTTCATTACTGTTTTAATATTTTCCAGTGAATTATTATGAGTCTTTTATTTTTATTTGTTTTTCATTTTTTCCTTTTTGTTTATTTTTCTGCTTGGATAAAAAAAAAAGCATCTTAAGCATGTCATCAGTAGAGACACATTAGTTTAACTTCTCCAAACACCTTTAATAAAATTAATGGTGATTGCTTGTGATATCCCACTTCATACTTCATTGTTATAGGAGACAAATGACAAATGCAGAAAATATGACTAGTTGGGGTTTTAGAGGCAATGTTGACGGTTATAGCATGCAGATGGAAGGTGCACAGAATGGGGGTTGGCCCTGACTTACTTGTTTGCTCTGTGTCTCTGAGTGGTTGTCTTCACGGATTAGAGGGCCCGCTTGCACTGAAAATTGTACCTTCAGGTTACGCTGAGTCTTCATGCTCCAGTGTAGCAAATGAGAAGCATGGGAATGCTGTGGTTTCACAGTTCCTGCCCCTCTGCTCATGGAATGGACACAAGCTTGTTGCTGCACTTCTTTGCATTGCTTTGGTTTGTGTGACTCTGTTAGATCTTTAATGCTGCCTTTAATTGCCTGATGGGAGGATGCAGTGCAGCAGAAAGAGCTACTATGGGACAGGACAAACTTGCTCACTTTCATCAACAGAGGAGAAGCCATCTGTTATACTTTGAGAATTTACAAATATCCTCTGGTCCCCAAACACAAAATGGCCGAGGAAGACATATTACTCTCACCATTAAAATAATAAAAAAGGTGAACAAATGTACCTATGAAATCAATGGACATTTAACTGTTCTAAAGAAGACTTTGACAATGAAATATCTGCCAAGATGGAAAATAATATCCTACTCACTATATCTACAGGCTATTAAAGCAATTGGTTACAACTGAAAAAAAAAATCATTCAAAATTTGTTTTGGCATAAAACCAGTGAATGTGCCTATATTTAATACATGCAGAAAATCAATTTCTTTCTCTCTTTCTCCTCAATTTATTGAAAACTGAGCCATGACTCAGACCCTTTTCTTCAATACTTAGATCAATGTCTGCACATACAAATAAATCTGTTTTTTGAGTCTGATATTCCTAAATGATTCAGGGGCAAATCTGGTTTTTGTCTCTTGTAGCATGCAATTCTGGTGGACTTCCCAAGGGTAGGTGTAGTCTTAGAGATATAAGGATTCTCTAGGGCTTCATTACTATTCCCCACCCCCCAAATTAATACATGCTCTTACTGCATCTTTAAAATATCACCAGTAAACCTGAGGAATCATTCAGCATCTTGCTGTTTCTATAGCCAGACACTTAGCTCTTATTCATCAGCCTGCTGAGCTGTTCCTTTTTCAGAAACATAAATACCACCTAACATTTTTCTTATATCCTTACTGGTTTTTTTTTTTAATCCTCACCCAAGGATATTTTTTCCATTGATTTTTTTTTAAAGAAAGAATGGAAGAGAGGGAGAGAGTCATCAATGTGAGAGAGACACATTGATTGATTGCCTCCCCACCTGCCCCGACTGGGTGGGGATCAAGCCTGCAACCCAGGTATGTGCCCTTGACCAGAATCGGACTTATGACCCTTCAGTCTGCAGGCCTAGGCTCTAAGCACTGAGTAAAACTGGCCAGGGCTGATATCCTTGTTTTTAACTGTTGTGACTTGCTGAATTTAGTACAAGTTCACTGTCATTTTCTTCAGGAATGAACTCATCTTTCTGGGCTTGAGATAATGAAATAGCAATACCTGACATCATCTGAAATCTAGGGCTGTATTTTTCAATTAAGAAATTTCTGATTTCAACAAGAGAACCATTCTCCTGAATCATTGAGCATATATAGTCCTCATCTTGTAAAGAAAGCCCAGTGTAACACCTTGATCATGTCTGTAAATGACTGCAGATGGTGGGAACAGTGGCCAGTTCCTTTCTATTTTCCCACTGTTTTGTTAACCTGGAGCCTCTTCTCTTTCTTTCCAAGGAGGTTGAGTTCTATATTGATGTGATTGAAGTCCCTGGGGCGCTTCACAACTGTATGTCCCTTCAGAGTGATGTTCACATTTTCTGGAATGTCAACAGTCTGTTTGTTGAAAATGGTCTTCATCCTCACAGTAGCTGTGAAAAATAACTTTATTACTATTTTAAAAGTAAGCTCCACAGGCCCCTCAAATCCCCAGTGTTAGCATTGATAATGTTGACTGATGGAATCAACTCAACTTTGGTGGTGCACACCCAGTCAAGGTACCTGGATAATAGCTGTGAAAAGAAAGTGGCAAATGCTGAGCTGGCGTTCTTTCTTGCTCAGGGCCCGAGTGAAAACTGGACAGAAGATCTCTGTGTCCTTCTCCTATTGGAGTCTATGCTCAGGTTTGGATTTACAAACAAGTGTGATTTATTTGAGTGGCCTGGGCAGGGGTTGCTTTGTCCACTCTGCTGATGCCCACAATCCTTCTATCAAACAGAGACCTGAGTTTGTTCCATGGAAAGATATACATAGTACTCATAGCAACGGGTGTAAGAGGAAAGGAGAGAGGTAAGGAGTCAAGAGTAAGACTCTGAATTCTTATCCCATGTCCATCATTACTTAGCAGGTCACTTTATTCTTCTGAGTCTGTTTCCTTCTCTGAGTGAAAGGGACCCAAACTGGATGGTTCCTTAGTACTCTACAAGTTTAGAAATCCATCAATGAGATATGCAGCTGTCATTCATTTTAACCTGATAGGGGTTAATTATCTAGGTCAGTGATGGTGAAACTATGACACATTTTTTTGGTTGATTTTTCTTTGTTGAATGGCATTTAAATATATAAAATATATAAGTCTTGGGATTTTTAGGAAAACCAAGATGGCAACATAGGTAAACACCGGAGATTGCTGCTTAGCACAACCACTTCAAGAATACAACTAAAAGTCGGAACGGACATCATCCAGAATCACAGGAAGGCTGGCTGAGTGGAAATTCTACAACTATAAAAAAAGAGAAGAGCATACCCAGACTCAGAGGAGCTGCGGTGTGGAAGTAAAGTACAGAGGTATGGAGGCGCACATGGAGAGGGCTGGTGGCTGAGGACATGGTTGTCTTCAAAGCAGCTGGATGGTCATGGGCACGGATTTGAAAGGTAAGGTTGTTTGTATGCCTCAAGGGCAATATCTTGCTGAGTTGGCAATCATCTGACTCCTTCAGAACAAAAGTAATTTTTATGAGAAGTGGGGCCTCTGAGGGCAGCCATAGCTGCTTGCTCCGCCCTGTTGATCCCCTGGGACCCTCGCCCTGCCCAAGGTGTGCGCCGGCTTTTGCATATGAAAGGGCTGGCCCTTTGCAATCTGAAAATTACCTAACAAACTTGCAGCTGGCCCAAGGCCCCACAGCTACTTGCATTGCTTCACAGCTGAGCTCCTGCTGGGTAGCCTCAGGCAGAGGCTAGATTAGCACCTCCTTAGAGATCCAGGAGCCAGTGTGCTCGGTGGTCAGAGTGGGACCATTCAGACTGCAGCTCCTTGAAAAAATAAAGGACACACTCAGGGGGCAGACTCAGTGAGCACCAAAGCCCCACTGAAGCAAATCTTTCCCTGAAGGGGTGTTTCCAGCACAGAAGTTCTCCAACTACAGACACAGCTGATTCTCACAGCCAATTGGCCTGGACGTCAATTCCTCCCAGTGATACCTACAACAATCAAGGCTTAACTACAAGACTGTGCACAAAG